AAATGCTACCTTGATTGTTTGTCGACGCAGTTTAATACATGATTATTGCGATTTCTGAATAAATACTACTCTCCTAAAGGAATTTCAGTAACTAATTTATACAAACTATTTGTTGAATAACTGAATAAAACTATCCAAAACTGTCCGAGTGTATAATGTCATCACCAGTTTTATAAATATTTTTTAAGAAAACTAGCTGAAAAGTTTGGTTAATTGAAATTTAACTCAAAAATAACATTTTATCAGTTCCTTCTTACGATTCAATATCATTACAAGTAGGCTTGTTTCTCAAAGTATACGTGACTTAATAACAGGAAATCACTAATTAAATACTGATCGATCAGATTATTTATTTTTTTATCATACTCATGAGAAACAACACAAACCTGCTGAGCTCTTTAACTCAGTAGAAAAATCTTTATAGTTATAACTGTTGAAAAACTATAACTCATTAGTCTGTCAACCATATCATTCAGTTAGGTGAGCAATCTTCAACTGTTTGTAGTATATGTATTCAGAGTTGTTAATTCACACACAACATTAACATACACTTCTTACATTTTTAAATTATTACAAGATATTGTTTGGTTATATGTTTTTTGTTTTACTAAACTTATTACAATTGCTTATTTAACATGTTTTCTTTTTAAAAACAATTTTAATTATTGTTCATTTTTTTCACACTGCGATATTAATTAAAGTAGTATGAATTGAATTTTTATTTGAACTATATGAAGTCGCATTCATTTTCGTTAGTTCAACATTATTGATAATTGGAAATAGATATAAAGAATAATTGTAATGCCTAATCATGTTTGGTTTTTAAATGATGGTGTTTGGTGTTTGCTAAGAGATAGAAGAGTTTTATGTTTTAAACATTGATCTAACTATGGAGAACGCCAACACCAAAATCATTCATATTAAGAAAGATTATCTACTATATACAATAGCCTGATATAATATTCTTATTAAGTCGTATTAGTGAAGTTCATAGGAATATTTAATAAGAATGGAGTTTGCCTTTAACTCAAAGATTTCTGTCATTTAAGAATCAGTCTTCAGTTATTAGAATCTAGGTTGAATATTGAATGGGAGCTTAAATTGACAGTGCGTATGGGGACGAGCCACTTTAGCTGAAAATTTCATGTATTTTTGAAAACGGTATACTGTACTTGATTGAATCATGTCAAGGAATAAGTTGCTAAATTGACCTTCAACTGTAACGAAACTTGGTCACGAGAATAATAATTACGGATAATATAACAGTCCATAAATTGTTAATGATTTGGATTCTATCGAATGACATACGACTCAGTGTATGTTGGTTATCACTGTTTTATGAAACTGTTCGGTGAGGCTCAAACTAGATTTATGACCACTTTGTCAAGCTTAGTTAGTCAGTTCAAAAGACTTTCAGTAATGGTTTCAAAATCTTCAATGAACAATTAATGAATTTTCACTTGATGAAATAATCGTATGAAACTGAACTATTTAACAGTAGATGTTTTCGTAAAATTGTATGCAGAAAGATGACAGAATGAGTTCTGTCCTTTCTAGTTGTGTTATGTTCTCCGAGTTGGGTGGTTGACTTCAAGAGCTTTCATAGTCATTACCTATTCTGTTTTCGATTTCTGTTCAGAACAATAGTAAGAGATTCATGAATAAATTAATCAATTCAAATAAATCAACTCTATTAAATGTATACACCAGAGGTTCAATTTTTAATAGCTTTGTAAATGGCTAAACGCAGTTGCCATTGACGAGTAATCATCCTTACTTTTTTAAGTTACTTTATGAATCAGGATCTTATACTGAAGCGAATTTTCATACTAACCAGTTACTCGAATATCACTGATTCAGAACTTGGTTAGTCTGATAAAGCACAATTTATTATCAATACAGAATCAGCGGATATTGGTCCCGACCATAGCTGCTACCTTGGTGATCGACCTTGCCAACGGCGATGATTCATCAGAGGAATACTGACCGGAAAATCTTCTTAGGTCCTACCACGTCAGGCACGTAGATTATAGAACGGTGAAACTAAAGGCAACAACTTAAGGTCTAAGGGTAAAGTCGTACTACTGACTTTAAAGGAGTGTGACAGCAGTAACGTGTTTCCCTTCGACAACCAGCATCTCAAGAGATGCTGCCTTCTCACAAGTAAGGAAGGGGTTAGAAAAGGTCGGCCCTAAAGATGTTACATCTTCTTTTAATCCGCTGACTCCTGTTTCTGGCGATGAGACGTTCTTATGAGCGGAGCTGATACGTTATTATTCATTCTCAATCCAAGAGATTGAATAGATGGGCAGGACACTTTCATAAACGTTCAAACTATTATGCAGCGAATCCTCAACAACCCACTATTTACAAACAACCTGAACATCACACTCAGGTTGAAAATGCTACAGGCAATCTGAAACGTAGGAGAGTAGCAAGACCTTTTTGTTTACACCTGAGATTTTTATGAATAGTGGTCTAGTTCTGTCACTGAGACTGACTGAGATCTTAGGTAGAATCTGGAAACTGGACATAATCCCATCTAACAGGTCTCAATGGCTGGTTTTTCAGTCCATAAGGACTGATAAAAGTATTCTTGTGACAGTCACAGAGGAATCAGATTAACTAATACTGTGTCTAAGATATCAGCTTCAATAATACTTCGACACCTAACTAGGGCTTGTAAAGATCAGATTTAAGTAAACCAGGGGGGTTTCAAACTTGTATATGGATGTACAGACCACATATTCACACTTCATCAGGTCCAACAAAACAGATGCACATCTAGACATCCAACAAGAGTTGTATTCCTGGACCTTAAGGTGGCATTTAACTCTATCGATTGTGAGTTTCTGTGTCTGTCCCTGTCATCGAAAGGTGTACCATAGAAGTACATTAACTTCGTACGAGCTCTCTACCCAAACACTACTGATTGGGTGACAGCCTATGACAAACTGTCATCAGAATTGATAACTTCAAGTGGTTTTCCTCATGGTTGTTCACTTTTCCCATTATTTAACTTTGTCACCGATTAGCTTTTGGAATCATAACTTTTATCATCTGACTTTTTAAGAAGATGACCTTCTAACAAGAGATTCGCTCGTTGAATTAGAATATGCCAATGAGATAATTATGTTTGGTGGAAACGCTCACAAAATTCAATCTTCTGTCATCTGACGAAATTAGCACGCGTACAGAAGGCTGGACTGGATTATGCCAACTAGTGTCGCTTATGACGTAGGCGAAAAATCCATCAGCTAGCTAAACGATGAGGTCACTACTTAGTGGTCCTTTCCCTTTTTCTTTGTGGGTATCAGGATCAGACGATATTCTTTGCTTACTAATATTCAATCACAGGTATGTTCAAAGCATTGCTCATATATCCTGGGATCACCGAATAAACAATACTGTTGCTAAGAAAAGTGTGTTAGGTAAGGATGGTAGATTATTAGATGAAGGATTGAATCCTCATCACTTGAGGTGATTGGAACATGTGTTATGTTTGCTAAACCACTAACTGCCTCGACAACCTGTGCTGTCTATTGTACGAGTAGGTTTGGAGAAAGCTGGGGATAGTCAAGCCGAAAGATGACGTCAATCCATGAACTCACTGACAAGTCGACTGAGCCATTTTAGTATGTTCAGACTACCTGGTTAGGGTCCGCGAGATGATAGTATCTGATAGCTAGAGACTTTAGACCACATGACTCAAAACCGTTTGCAATGACACAGGTGCATCTATTCTTTGTACTGTCTGAAATTCTAATCTGAATTCGTCATCACTTCTATCTTTCCCTTGCTCAATTTACCTAAATGAATTATACTTCTCGAATAATATCTTCGATCTGTAATCTATTCGATTACTGTAAATACTCCTACTACCTACACTACTATGGGATTTAAATTGACAATTACGTCTCTTTGCTAATGTGGAACAGCAACTTGAACTGATGTACGTACCGATCAGATTCTACATTATAATAGCTGACTGATTGAGTGAATATGATTGAAATATAAATTATTAACTAGCGTACTTATTTTACATTTTTTAAATTGCATTTCTTACTTTTTCGTTGTTCAATTTTGTTTGTTTTTTTCGACTTGTTTAACTTAGTTTTCAATCATTTTATCGTGCAGACAGAAAATTTCTAGATATATGATTGTGTTTTATTTTAATTATTAAAATATTCACTACAGACTTTTTGACAAAAAAAAAAACAAATGAGCAGTTTAAAATTAGATTCTTAATTAAAGTTATCATATTTGATCTTATCATTAGTTCGTTCTAGGATACCAAGTGAATGAGTAAATAAATAAACATAGAATGCATTACCATATGGTAGATTTCTACAATAAATGAACACCCCTTTTTAAGTGTACAATTATCAATAAACTGTTATTGTCTTTTTTTGATTAAAAAATTAAATTTTATGATTTTTAGACACTATGTTAGAAATGTGGTTCATTTTTGAACTTTATTTTTAGGGGAAGAGGTAGAAGTGTTTGAATTTCTACATGGTCTACTAACTTATTAACCAACGAAATTCTAGTCTCATACATCAATACTTCCGCTATAATCCTCCTGTCACTCCCTCTCTCTTTCATTTTATTTTAGACTGTTTTTATTTATTGTCTCATTTTAGAGTAGATTGTCTGAGTATTTGAAAAATAAAACTAAACACCAATCTCTATTAATCTATATATGAGATAGAAGTTGTTCGACTTTTACAATGCTTTTTGATTGGTTCACTTTATTTAACTAAGCGCATTTTGAGTAAGCGTCAACTAAATTATTTTTCCCTTTCACTCATTTTGTGATAATTATCACTTATGAACTCAGTGTAACACATTGAGTTGTTTTAATTTTATTTTTATTTCTATTTTCAAATAAATCTTCAATAAAAAGTTTAATAAAAGCAAATTGAACATATATAGTTTAATAAATTCACAGATTCATTTTGTAAAATATAAATTTTTCATAAAAAAAAAATAAAGACATTATGATTAATATGATACCATTATTATGTGCTGGATGTCATCAACCAATTTGGGATCCATATTTATTATCGATCGATCAAAATACATGGCATGAACAATGTGTTACATGTTCAGTGTGTCACTGTTTATTACATGATAAATGTTTAGTACGTAATAAAAAGTTATACTGTCGAAGTGATTATATTAAGTAAGCAAAATTTTTTGTTTCTTTTTATATTATGTGGTTGAAATGACTAACACATATGTGTATAATGTAGACTTTGATTTCTTAAAAATTCAGTGATTTCCAATGTTTGTGTTTTACATCTTTAGGATGATAATTTATCTATTTATCAGTATGAAACATGAATTCATGAAATCAGTTACTGGTAATTTTAATAATGAAAATTAAAATTAGGATAGTTTAAATAATATTCACCTAATAATAGTGTATTACGGGGTTGTGAAGATTGTTAGGTTTTTTTTTTGAAACCATGAGTCGATCAATGTTAGACCACTATTAGAAACCTGGAAGCACTGGACGGCCGTTTCATCCTGGTATGCGACTCCTCAGCAGTGCGCATCCACGACTAACTGAATCCTTAAGCTTTAATTCTTCATAAAAGTATATACGTTGTGAATTAGCTAAACCAGTTAAGGAACTTGATGTCGTAGACTGACTTTATATACTAATAATTTTCAGTGGTATTTTCATAAAGTATCATCTAAAATTTCAGGATATTCAACATATGTCAGTGTGTGTTTTATGGGAACGTTTATGATAAGGAATGGAATTTCACTACTTTGATAAAATTTAAAAGCATTCATTCTATGAGATGATTAGGTGACTGCACACAAATGTAAGCGGTGAAATATTTTAATCAGGGTATATTATTAAGAATCAGTTAAGTGATAAAGTTTTCTTTTAACAATAAATTCTATATGACCACGAAAAGAAAATGCAGAAATGCAATTACTCATTAGCCGATTCTTGAAAGTATCAAAATGGAAATCTTGAAAATGGCCAAGAGCACTTCATACTTTGACCAAAGATTGAAAATTTCCATTGATAGAATTCGAAACGGAAATATGATTTTTTATCATTGACAGACAAATTATGCTTAATAGACTGATTTCCCACGAAACTTATAACTCATTCGCTTGTAATTTTTCGAAAAGATAAAATTTTGGTCTTTTTCTAATCGGATTTTAGTATATAAACAATATATTTGATAATTTTAAATGTTTATTTTCTCTCTTGCTAAAAAAGGCAATTTGGAATTCGTTGTAAAGGTTGTAATCATTTAATTCAATCCGGTGACTCTGTCTTAAGGTTATACACATATAAAACTATGAAATCTACATCAATGCAGAATTATTTCATGAAAAAACAAAACACACTTGAATTTCAATCAACTGATGTCAAGTCGACGAATGTTACTAATACCAGTGTTTTATCTTCAACAAACAAATATGAATTAAATCTTACCGATGAAGATGATGTTGATACTAAAAAAGATTCATTCAATTTATCCGTACTGATTCATTATTTTCATGTAGATTGTTTTAAATGCTGTGATTGTAATCGGTTACTGACTCCTGGAGAAGAGTATACAATAAAAAATTGTATGCCATTATGTATTATGGATTATGAGAAATATTTACTTGATAAAGAATCACAACAGATTTGTACAAAATTACAAGAATCATTTATACAACAATCATTACAATTTGAAAAGTATACACAAGACAACAGTATGGATGGAAATAATGAAAATAACCGAATACACGAACAACAGCAACAACAACAAGAAGGATATTTCAATGAAGAATCAAATGATACCGATGTAAACTGTGAAGAATCTAGTCGGCTAATGACACTTGAAATAAAGTCCGATATTGGAAACTATGAAAAATCAACTAATACTAACACAGATACAAGTTTATTAAATGATTCAGTACTTTTATCCGATATCAATATATCTGCGCCGAATTCAAGTGATGATTCAAGTAAAGGTGAGATCTTGTTTTGCTGTGCATGAATTTTAGAAAAAAGTTAAATTTAAAAATTTAAAAAATGTTATCCCTTAGTATTTGCAATCATCGTCAGAACTCTCAGTAAGGTGTAGAAGAGCTTAGTTTTATTGGAAAAATTGTTATATGACAGTTTATTGAAAATGTAGACGACATAATAGCATTGTTTATTGTGAATAGAATAACTTGTGATTATTATAATTGTAACGTAACATTATTAACTTAATATGAATTAGTTAACAACTTTCAAAATATTAGTCGGGATTAATTCCCTATCAATTTATGAGAACTGTACAACAGGCCATTATCATCTGTTAAGAATTATCTTGTTTGTATTCTGCTCGACGGAATGGTAACGTATATGTAGGTTGGTATATTTCTTGACATACATAAGAAACATAGACTTTACATCAGAACTACTCAGTCTCAGCATAGTTTACAAAGTATAAGGTTTTGATTTAAATCGTGATTAATTACTGATGATTTCTGTTTAAACTTAGGGCAGCTTCATAAAATCACTATTACTCATGCAGTACCTGCAGTTTTTGTAACTTATTTCTTTAAGTTGCAATTACTGGTCCATAGCTTCAGTATATATATATATATATATATATATATATATATATATATATATATATATATATATGTATATATATATATAATGTAATTAATCATACAAATAAATTGTTGAATATTTAGATGCAGACAGAATGGACGATGACGAATTATATGAAATGGATAGTGATTCTGAATCGGGGAAAAATTCTAAAAGACCACGAACAATCTTAACAGCCAATCAACGTCGTAGATTCAAAGCTGTATTTGAATTCAATCCAAAACCAACACGTAAGGTAAACCAACTTGTTAGCTAAAGTAAAATCATCATAAGACTAATTTAAAATATTTTTAGTGTTATTTACAATGTCTGATATCTTTCTTTTCAGTATGTAATCATAGTGTTTCTCATCTAGCTGTTACACTTTGGCCAAAATGCTGTTGAGTAAACCGGGTAATTTTCTCACCGTTATTCGAATCGACATTTCCTCCTATCGGAATGATATCGTCTTTTTAGAAAAAACATTGAGTGTAAAATCTGTATCTGAAATAATCCCATCAAGTTAGCTTTAATAACTTACATTTTCATTACTACCCAGAAGAAATCCAGATAAGATAAACGGAGGAAAAGTCGAAATGATCTTAATTTCAATAACTGCAATAATTTTAGATATAGTTTTTCAATTCAGTGTCATTAGTGTATTCAACAATCTAGATTCTATCAAACCATTCTGTTAAATATTTATGAATATTGAACTTAATCGAAAAATGTTTTCTTAAAAATTATTGAAATGTTTGTAATTTAAGATCAATGTGACCATCAGTTTGAATTCACTGACTTTTTACTTCACAGTGATTTCGGTAGCGTTTGATTATTTGATTTGATTACATTTAACTTCATAATAAAGTGATCAATGTACAGGATCGTAAAATGATTTAGTAACAGGTTTTAATTCCAGGTAAAATTATTGTGTATCAGATTACTTAACTTAATCATCAAAAATAATCATAATAAAAATTAATGTTAATAGAATCACAAGTTATCGATAAGCAGACTGAGGGAACATAATTGTAAGAATCTGAATAGCTGGTTGATCTAAAAGTTTATACATTTCTGTCTTAGAAAAATCCCACTGGATTTTATGATAACTTAGATTTATTTGAACAGTCAGCAGAGAACACTAAACTATCTAAAGTTATTCCTTGTTTACATGTTATCGATAATTGTAAAGACATTTAAATTTTCTTTTCTCTTTTATAAACACTTTGTTGATTAATTTAGATACGTGAAGCCTTAGCCACAGAAACTGGTTTAAATATTCGTGTTGTACAAGTTTGGTTTCAGAATCAACGTGCAAAAGTACGTATTACTATTATCTATATTAATATTCAATAATATTCATCAGTCATTTCAATTGGAAGGGAATAATATGTTTAGGAATAGAAATATATCATCTAAGGGTATAAAATAATGTTATATTAATATTATGATTAGTGATGAGTGATATGCGATTATTTAGCTTCGAAATCAAATGTTGATCACCTTTAATCATAACTCATTGTTTAAATAAAAAGGCCAATTTTTGTAAATCGTAATCAAAATCTGTGGCTTACATTAGTTACAGAAAACTGTTAATGTATGATCATAATATCCGCCAAGTTGATCGATTTCTTGAGTTGTATTCAATGTTCAAATGAAAGTAAATTGCGAACAAATAAATCAGTATGTTTCAGGTTTTCTGATAACTTTAGCACAAAAACATTTATTAAATATTCCAAGAAATGTTTTTCCCTTCTGATCAAGTAAAGTCAAGAAATTTTGAATTATCCTTATTTAACGAATTAAAAGGTTTTTAGAAGATCATTTATTCTTTATTTATTCATAAGTATAATGAATTGCGCTATTTTGTTTGATTTCGATATGCTGCAAAATTAACCAAGGAACAATTCATTTGTTCGATTCAACAGCATTAAATGTTATCACCAATTTTTATACGTAAACATTAGGGTTTTCCTCTTGAAATCATACTTACAAAGTAATCAGTGAATGCAACAATGATCTAATTACTGATTTGTAATGGAAATTATAAAAATTAATTCATTAAAATGACTTGATTCCTTATCAAAATAATGTACATCCTTCATCAATTTTTAATATTTCATTGAAAACAAACTAACATATTTTCACATGAATAATAATTTTTATTTGTAGATTAAAAAATTAGCTCGTCGGCATGCTCAGGAATCTCGACAGCAGTTAAATCGTACAATGTTATTAAATAATCCTATAATGAATAATGAATCAATGATTAGAATTCAATCTCCAAATTCTATGTTATTTAATCTAAGAAATCCTGCTATCTCAGATATACGTGAGTAAATGTGATCTAAATTTTAACATTGTTTAAATTGTATCGAAAAAGTAGAATGATTGAAACCTTATTCTATGATTTATGATTAGTTTGTCTCACTGTTGGATAACACTCAGATAGTATAGCAGAAACTTTCTATAAGCTTTTATTCTTGAGCACATGTTGTGTCAAGTGACTGTCAAGTTACTTACTATACGACAGTGATTCTCTAGGAAAAATATTCTTGAACAACTGCTATTCAAATCACTAATATTTTGTGGCTTTAAATCTCTCAATTTTTCTATATCTTACCTTTTATTCTCATCAGTAGATCAGATTCTTTCTAACTGATAAAGGTAGTTCTGTTTCTCCTTCGAAAGTTTTAATCTGATGATCCCCTTTTTATAAAATAAAATTACACAATCAACCAAATACATATTTCCTTCCCGCTAACTCATAAACCACTGTCTATCATATAAATAGTAGATTATTTGACCAGAACAAACTCAATTTATTCGAATTAATAATGAAAAATGAAACTAGATCTTAATAAAATATTCAATTTAAGTCATACAGCTGTGTTTAAATAAACTATTAAAAGTGAACTTTGATTGGCAGTTATATTTATAATTGTGTTGATTAATTTTCTATTATTTTGAAATGTTTTTCTCCCTATCTTACGATATATATATATATATATATATATATATATATATTTAAAACAAAATGTTGCACCAATTACTAACATGACACAATGAACATCATGTTCATTAGTGATTGTTATTCTAGTCTTATTTCTTAAGAATTATTATTTGCAAAATATGTTAGAATTTACTGTAGTCGATCAACTTTCAAATTATTAATAATACTGACAAACAATATTCTCTTTTGAAATATTATTATTCGTTATATTGTCAATTAAAATGGCTATCCAACATATCAACAGATGATGATGACTTTATTTTTGAAAAGTTTTGTAAAATTTAGTTTGAATTATTCAGTAATTGAAATTTAAAGAGTTAGATTTACCGGTCTGTTGTGATGAATTGGTTGTAGTAATGATTTCTTTGTTTATTATGAATGAATCGTTCAACCGACAAAAATAAAAACGTTCAAAATTTCATTAAACTAGCATAACCTAGTGGAACATTCATATAGTTTTAGTGTTCAGTGTTTATACCTGTAACTACTACCTTATATGTAATAGTGCAGTAACATAAGTTAATGAATGACAACAGTATTTTAAATGATTATCAGTCGACTGAACCACCATGTCAGGATGCATTGACTTATGATTGAACATTGATATGTCAAGCTTATTGTCTAATTATTATTACGGTAACAAAATTCTATTTTTACTTCCGGTGTAGAGCATAGACATGATAACTTCAGTTAGTCAACTGTTGCATCACGTAATACCATACTTTAGATAACCGTACACTATGAAATCTGCTTAAAAACGTTTACTGCTTGTAGAATAATAGTTGCACATAAAGAAATTTAATAGTTCAGGTAAATAAGTTCTAGTTTGCCTGAAAAGACGATACTGATTTGTTGACAGAAAAGTCAATACAGTTAAAAGTAAGTACGTGTGACACCTTCAAGTTATGTGTATAATAAAGATGTATCACTTGTTCTGTTCAAATGAACTTGGGTAATCCGCTGTTTGGAACACCGACCGATTTGTTTTCTAACCTATAATTCTAATCAATGATGTTTTATTGTGGTCACTACTTTAAGTTATGTGATATATATATATATATATATATATATATATATATATATATATATATATATATATATATATATATATATATATATATATATATATATGATATACCTAGGTATCCGGTATGAAAGCTTTATCTAGCTATCTCCCACATCTATTGTGATCAACTATTTTATATGTAGTTGCTTTTGTTGGTATCATGAACCTTAATTTGTTTCTCTATGTTTTTTTCGTTTGTGAACGCACATAAAACTGAAATAAGCTCATTTTCATTCTTTTTAATTCAGGTTACTTATACAACACAGTCGAGAACTGTCCAGATATACAGTCACTTCAAAATAATCCAATAAATGAAAATGATCCAGTTGAAAATCTAAACAAAAGAATGACCTCTTTAACCACTCCTTGTTCATCAACAATTATTCATGTACCACAAACAAATCGAATGGAAAATCCATATACTGCTAACCTTCCATTTATTTCAACAACTGACAAGGTGATAGAAAAATCATCTTTACCATTTTCAACACATGAATTATTTCCTTGTATAAATTCACTTTGCACAAATTCAAAATCCAATTCATTTCTGTCTGAAGTAGTCACATTCACTCCAATAACTTCATCTGATCTTGTGATCAGTAATAATAATAATAATAATAACACTAACACTAACAGTAATAATAATAATAATAATAATAATGATAATAGTACTAATAATAATGACAGTATTCATAACAACAATAATCCTAATGTGGACAACAGCAGTACTACAAAATGTTCATCCATATTTGATACATCAATCAATAAACTGTATTCTATGCACCAATCTTACTTCATGTAATATTACCAATCGATTCATTTTGAACTTATTTCTACTTTAGATACAAGAAAACTACTATTTTATTATTTCATAAATTTTTTTTTATTATAAAATAACACTTTTGTACAGTTTAATCTATTAAGTGTAAGTGTTTTAGATAATTTTCTAACTGAGATTCATCCTCATTATATTGGTTACGGGAATGTACACAAATGACCATTGAAAGATTTGTTTCTACAGCATTTGATTCTTACAAACTATTTTGTTCGAGTCCTGTTGTCTTTTATTCTAATTTTATTGCTTTGTTTCATCGTCTTCTTGTTATTTATTGATCTTTTTTATGATCAAAGCAGAATGGAATTTTTTTCTGTCTTACAATCATTGGTTTAAAACACTGGTTGATTCTATAGAAATTAATTAACTCCTGTTAGCAAATTTTACAGTTTCATTAAGCTAATCATTAAAAAAAGGGTTACAAACGAAATTGGTTAAGAATGTTAATTTTATTATGAGCTAGATTGACGCGAAGAACCATCTAAAGGCTGGAAGGTACAACATTACGGTTTAGCTCAATAATAAAACACTTATTGGTTCGTGTCCCAAATTAGAACGACATGGCTCAAAATCGTTTGTAATGGCGCAGGTGCATCCACTCTTTGTGTTCTATGAAATTCTAAGCTTCTGCATTCCTCATAATCTCTACCTTTCTCCTTCTAAATTTATCTTACTGAATTATACTTCTCGAATCATATCTTCGCTCCCTAATCTTCTCCATTACTGCTAATACTTCTATTATTGCTATCACTCTTGGATTTGAACTGACAGTTGCGTCTCTGTGCTGATGTGGTATGGCAACCTGAACTGATGTACTTACGTACGAAGTTCTGCGTTGTATCTGTCTGTCTGTCCCAAATTAGATAGGGAAGTGATGATATTGATTCGAGTCATTTTTAAGCCAGCAGTTACGCTGTAAATCAAGTTTCAATTTTGTAAATCAGTATTAAATCATTCAAGGTTTTGTATAAATCGTGCTGATGATTGTCTAGAAATATGAAATCTAGATTAATAGGATACTTTCAATCACCTTTAGATATCTATCATATTTATCAAAGATGAGTTCCATTAACAATTCATTTTATTTTATCGTAATTATTTGACACAAATGGCAAAAGAAAAAAACTTAAAGTTTACTGTTTGCGGTATTACTTTGAAAATAGCAAACTTCTGGGTTAATTGCCAGTCATATTAACCAACAGATGCATTTGATTCATAGTTTTAAGTAAAAATTGGCGATTTAAGGCAGCAAATGCATTGTAGGTTGCTTGTGAAGTGATCACCTGAAAGATAGGAAAAGCTCTTCTTATTGTTTTTGGTATAATTAAACTTTTTTAACTGTCTTTAATCCCTCTAATTTTTATGACTTTATAGTTCTGTAACAAATTAAAACGATGAAATGCACATTTCCTTTGAGTGTTTAAAATACAAGCTTTCCATATCACAATTTGGAAATTTCTGCAAAACTGAAAGGTTTTTAAAAAAAAATAAACAAGATTGAAGCACCTTTACAACTAAATACAACAAAGATCTAATACTTTTTAACTTCATTTTAGCCTAAATTAATTCACAATCAACTGGGTTTAATATATGCCAAATGAAATTTTCATGTAATTGAAATATGACTAAATTCTTGATGGTGACTTCAAATGGTGATCGACTTCATATTGCTCATCTATTGAAACAACTAAGTCTAAACAGAATAATCAAATGATGAAGTTTATTTCACCACTACACTGCCAATTCAACTGATGCAACTGATATACCGATAAATGATAAATTATGTACTGTAAACAGGCATTGCTTTAAAGATACTTATTATTATCAAAATGAATAAGTTTCGAAGATAGGGGAGAGTTCATGTCATTTAGAAAACCTGATTTGTTGCTTTGAATGTGTAAAACATAGCATTGTTTTGTAATACAGCAAAAAATAACAGTAAAATTAATCTTTTACCTATTTTTACTAGCTTTCTCGTAATATTTTGATAACAGCCTATTGTACCAGCTTACACTGGTTCACCTGGTATATTTACAGCTTGCATAAACTTTATTCAATTCAGAAGGACGCTGTAGGCTCATTTTATCAGATTATTGAATACAACCGATCAATCAGTATCGACTGATCATACAATTAATTACTAATGACCAACTTTTATAGATTAAAATTCAAGCAGAAGTGATTGTAACTTTACTAACATTTCAGAGCGATTAGAGTTTGATTATAAGATTATTGATCATTATTTGAAACTAACTTCATACTCTCTCTCTCTCTCTCTCTCTCTATATATATATATATATATATATATATATATATATATATATATATATTGCCCCAGTAACACGTTTCTAATCAAAATTTTTTCCTCTTCACTCAACTGGTGACAACAGCCAAAACAATAATTACACTTCTTTTTTAAAAAAAAATTATGTTGCTGCATACAACGATTTGTCTGTCAAGTAAAATCTAAGATTAACTGGATATTTATTTCGCTAAAATAAGATTTAACACTTTCAAGTAGTGAAATTATATAAATTATTATTATTGAATTTAGAAGAAAACATTCTACGATTTATGAGATTCTCACTTTTTGATGTTAAAAAGTATTTCGCTATTTTGAAGAGGGGATAAGAGTAAAGATATTTTACTGATGATCTAAGCCAATAAATATTTTCATTCTCACACTCATTCTATGAACCAGTTCATAAAAAATATATCATTGTACACCAACTAACTATAGGTGTCTTAACACTCGAATTATTTTTTTTTTAGTTGACTTTAAAATTCTTTTTTCTTTTTTCATTCATGTTAATCCAATTGAATTTTAATTATAACCAAGGGGGGGTGTGATTTTTCAAATTTTTTCCATGCTGATTTTATATATTCCTTTTCTAAGAAAAAAAACACTCGAAAATATTATTTCTTCTAATCTAATCCACTTAACAATAAAATAATTTCCAAAAAAATTACTAAAATAATATTTTCAAAATATATTTTTTTGAAAAAAATGAACAATATTTTAATGATTTTCTATGCAATTATTTAATTGGTCAGTAGAATATTATACAACTTCTTTGTAAATTATCTTATCATCAGGATACTATGAAACTAACAATAAGTAATAAATTTTCAATGTACAATGTAACATTCAAAACATTAAGTAACAATGTTTAAATAACTTCAGTTATCAATACTTCTTGTCATGAGAATTGATTGATCCTTTTTTTTATTAAATATTCCATGGACATAGGCTGAAATGTACGCGTTTATTATGAACAACTTAGATAGTTTTATATTGAAATGACTAACTACATAATGTTATGTAAAGTTTGGAAAGTGTCTGGTCATTATAAAGCATTAATATTACCTACCTACTTACTTACTTACGCCTGCCATCTCCAATGGAACGTAAGCTGCCGATCAGTATTCTCCAACCTACTCTGTTCTGGACTTCCTTTTCTAGTTCTGTCCAATTTATGTCCATTCTTCTCATATGTATCTCTCTTTCTCAGCGTTATGTGTTCTTTGGCTTTCCTCTTTCCCCTTGACCTTGAGAGTTGCATGTTAGGGCTTGTCTTGTGAGACAGTCGGGTGCTGTTTGCAGTCTGTGTCCTATCCACTTCCAGTGCTTCTTCCTGATTTCTTCCTCTGATAGAATCTGGTATGTTCTCTCCCATAATAGGTTGTTGCTGGTGATGTCTGGCCATCGCATCCGAAGTATTTTGTGTAGACAACTGTTAATGAATACTTGTATCTTCTGGATGAAGACTTTCGTAGTTCTCCAAGTTTCTGCCCAATAAAGTAAAACTGTCTTGATATTTCTACTGAAAATTGTGATGCTGGTGTTCATTGATAGTTGTTTAGAGTTCCAAATATTTTTCAACTCTAGAAATGCAGCCCTTGCTTTGCCAATCCGCGCCTTCATATCTGCATCGGATCCACCTTGACTGTCGATGATACTACTCAGATATGTAAAGGTGTTCACGTCCTCCAAGCTATTTCCCTCAAGTGTGAATTGGTATGTGTATGTTGTGTTGCGAAAGCATTCATATCTGTTTGTTTAAAAAAACCCGACATTTTCTGATTTATTTATCAAAGGCTCTGTTCGAATGCAAATCATACTTCATTGTATCTATAAAATCTTCGATATTCTGTGTAATCAAAAAGAGATTTTGGTTAAGAGAGCATAATAAATAATTAGTTTACTGGAATTTTCAAAATTTTCTGCTGTTACTTGCTGGTTGAGTACATGACAGTAAATATTAACGCATAAAAATCCAATAAAATTAAAGTTTGTGTGAGTTTTATTTAAGAACTAATATTGTATGAAAACGCTAGTGATAAGTTCATCAATTTCAAAAATGTAATCGGCTATTCAGAAAATCTTCAGCCATATAATAAATTACACTTATTCATTAGACCCGTATGTTAGGAGAAATATCAAAATAGAAAAATTCTCAGCAATAGTAGTACTTGGAAATTACAGTTAGCAGTCTTTCTGCTTCGTGCCTATATATAGTACAAACTGAATTTGATACACATTGTAATGAAATAACAGTTACATACTACGTGGATTTAGTTAAAGAAAGGTTGAATGCTTCATGTAACACTCTTAGAAAAGTAGTGTAAGATAGTATGATACCCAAGGATAGGCAAATAGTGTAGTACATGTCTACATATACTGGAAATGGCATACACGAATACATTTTAATTCGTGAATTACGTAGTGCATCTTAGAGAACGTCCAAGTGAGAGAATCAAAGTTATTTTTGGTGTGTTGAGTGTGTCTTTCAGGAAATGAGAGATGAACAATTTAGAAAAGTCCCATGTTTCTTATTTACCAGATGAGTGATTTACGTAGTAGCGATCATTATTTGAAGAATTGTCAACGCTAGAAAAAGTTGGAGCGTTATTCAGTTCAAAGAACTATAACATGAAGTGAGAACCTCAGATAATAATCGGTACTT